GGCTGTTGACGCATGAAGATTCATTTTTATAAATAGCGCCTAACTTTAATTTAGGAGCAATTACTTTTAGCAATTATTTTGTTGATTTTGCTATTTCTCCAATTCAAGGCGTTTTTCCCTCGCTATACTTTGAGTAGTGAGAACCTATTTTTATTATCTCCAGTATCAAGTCCTGTATAGTGGCGAACTAGGGGATATTACAATGAAACTTAGCAAATAAACGTAATTCCACGTACTTTTGAGGTCGGTTTTTTTTATGAGTTCAGTATTCACATTGGCGCATTAATTTGTTTAAGAAACATAGATGGCGGTATTTAACATACTTGACTATAATGACATTTTTCTACTCCTGTATTGATCTGTCAATTATAATTTTACATAAATCATTATTTTTAGTCAAAACCCTATTGTCTATCGTACTCGCTACTGAACTGAAAAAAATCATTATTATACTGTACACAGAACTATAATGAGTGAATCAAATTCGGCTATTTATAACCAACATTTAGTTGATAGTCGATAGAATATTTATCGACTGCAATCACTAGTTGCTAGTAAGTGGGCAACACTTTTGCGCAAGTAACTGTCATTTTACTCTATTTTCAAAAAAGACAGATTATAGACAGTCTAACAAAAATAAGTGGCTTACAAATTTCACCGTCAAGTACTCTGCGTAGCTACTACGGGGATAAAGTTTATCTTCGTTAGCATTTTACGGTTTGTTAGCAGATAAAAGCGACAGTTTAGATACCTTGTACTGCCTCGGTGGCCGAACGGTTACCATGCTGCTCTGCGACGCAGAGGTCCTGTATTTGATTCTCGGATTGGGGGAAATATTTGTATGGTTTACATTTATTTCCCTCGTGAGTTTGGGTGTTCTATGTGTGTGTCTATGGCACCCGTGACACAGGGTTTCTCTAGTGCGGGGCTCTATAAGTGTGTGCGTTATTATTATTATTTTTGTTATGTAAAGGAAAAGGGTCACGGGCCATAGAAATTAACCCAGTCCGCCGGGACTGCAAAAGAAACCTAACTCACATTTTATTTATATTAAGTAAGTAAATTTTGTGTAGTGGTTGCCTGGCACATTGTTATTATTATTATTATAACTATATGTAGATTGAGTGTGATAAACGTAGCCATTTTTTGTGTAAAAACATAATTACTGACATCCACAGGGTTCCGTAATGTTTCTATTTTGAATTACAGATGCCCTTTGAAGGCACGAGTAGAAAATTAATTATAATTAATTATAAAAAAAATTGTAACTATTGTTCATTAAATTTTTATTGAATTGATATTCAATTATTTTTTGTGAAATTACTCCACTAGTTTGTTATAATTATTAATACAAAGATCGAACACTCAGAAAAAATTCCTTCGATCCGGTCGGATTCGAACCGACGTCTTCTTGCATACCGTGTCAGACGCTATACCAACTAAGCCACGGAACGAACCAACGGACCCCACGAATTTTTCTATGTGCTTGCGTCGTGTCTGTGTACTTGGTCTTTCAACGACTTTTTAGTCGTAGCGCCATCTACGAGAAATCTATTACAAATTTATCACCCAGTTAGCACCTTTACAGCTAACTATAACTATTGTTTTTTTTACCATATTATTCCTACCCTAATCGGTGACTTTATACTTACTTATAATAGTTTTTGAAGAATAGAGAACAAAACCAGTGATAAGCTTTTGTTTACACATAAACATACATTACTACCTAACTCTATGCGCCTGAGCAAAAACAATAGGCAATATTGTCATGTTAGCCACTGATATCGAAAACAATAACTGTATAGAATTTACTTACTTAATATGCAAACTTCTGAGGTAGGTTTCTTTTGCACCGGGACTGGGGTAAATTTGACCTTTCTCGTTTGTTTTACACACGCCCCTGTAACTAAGTGAAATAAGATAAGATAAAATAACATGCATGAACACTAATAATAAACATAGCCGGTAATGCATATTGTAAACGACCTCGCCGGGGCCGTGACGACGTATAATTTGCATACGTCTGTTAGTGACGTAATTGACGCGATCGTCACTTGTTTTGCTATTCACTAGGAACACCAAATTAAAGCGCAAACTACGAGACAGACTAACTTATCCATAGCATCAGGTAATTTCCGATTGCAAAATAACCGGATGACGTCAGAATAATTCCGATCGCGTCTGTATATTAGCTCACAAGAGACGAAAATGTCTGTTTATTCCCAACGGATGCTTTGACACTCGTCACCGATGACCGTATGTTCATTAGTGGGTTAAACGGTGCATAATGCGAAAGTGAGGCGATTTGGAAGCAGCTCATAGATTCCACGTCGATGAGTACACTCCTTAACGCCTGAATAAACAAACACTCTAAAGAGGTTCTGGCATTGATCTAGAATAACCTCCAAAAGTTGAAGATGGCACCCGCGAGACAAGGTTACCCTTATGCGTGAGATGCGGGTTGTGATGGGGATGTGCGAGAGGTGCGGGCTATGAATGTGCATTATTACATTTTACAAGCACCCTCTTCTTATTATTATTATTATAGTCACTGCGTTACCTTAGCCTAATATTAACTTTATATCTAAAGTCTCATGATGTTCGGTTGAGAGTTAAGTGTGGCGGAAAAGGCATGGGAGTAGGGTGAATGCTTTGATCAAATGAAGAAGGTTGTAAAAATTATAGTTTCGCGCAGTGCCCAGAGATGCGCAGTGTGTTAAAACTCAATCAACCAGTACTGGGTTTTAACTGGGTTTTTGCCCAAAATTCAAACCTATTTCTGCCCAAAATCGGGGGGACGGCATTCGGTATTATTCCATCCATCTGTAAGTTTAATTGCAGAGAGATATATACACTACATTATAGTATTAAAGACAGAACACCGAAGATTGTTGTAAGAAAGCGAGTGTTGTGATGGAAAGGATGATGTAGCGAGCAGGTTAGAAAAGGGAATGCTCCGATGGTTTGGTCATTTACAAAAGATGGATGTTATTAGGTCGTCGACACAAATGGTGCGAAGGTGAATAATTATAGAATAGCAGGTAAAACTGGCCTTCGACGTGCGTTTAAACAAATTGGGGTTATCCTAAAAAAAGTTCAGGGTAAAAGCGTCAAGAATAAACGGGATTAAGTGACTGATTCAAGTGGTGGAGGTGAATTTGTCAGGAGCGCACCAAGTGCAGGTTTATTGTCTCTGCCTGCCCTAGTATATGAGGAGCTATATATGTTTCTAAAGATTAATGAGTTTAATTGCAGAAGGACAATTACGTTGTCTAATAATACATTAGAATGAAATAGGTTAACAAAGCAATTGTCAACTTCCGTGATATGCGAATAGCTACAAAGTTTGGAGTTTAGTAAACAGTACCTACATATTATAGAAATCTATTAACATTTAAAATTTATAAATGCAAATAAACGAAATAAAGATCGAAAAGAAACCAAAAAGGAAAGGATTCTGCTGGACTCGAACGAACGACTTTCCGCTGATTCTCAGAGACTCTCTAAAACTCAGGCTAATTGCTTTCGTCCGGTTGCTTTTAAAGGAGACACGTGGTCGTGCATAACTCCGCTCGGCGGTATAGAAACTATTTTTAATTGGAGTGATACGTCAAACTCACAAATGGGACCCAATATATTTCCTTAGATATTGTAAGTAATAGGATCCCGGAGATGGACAGCGGCGTCTCCCTGTATACTGCAATCACCACCCTCTTTGCCTTTAGTGTGTTTATTAATAGAACAAACTTGATTTTACTTCGCAATAAGTCCTTATCACTAATACTTAACGCGAAGCTTTCATTACTAAGAACGAAGGCAGCCTGTGTTACGTTTGGTCATCTGGTGCGAGATATTCAACCTATCTTACTGACAGCAAAGCCATTTAGGCACTACCACCTTATATCTGTGATTACGCATGTAATTATGAATAATAAACTCATTACTACTGGACATAAATCTCCCCTTGAATACACCAACCGGGAGGTCCTGGACACCGATTCAGAACTCTTCGACATTTTAATCGTATCGTTCGGTACCGTTCTCGAATCGAAGGGCGCTTTCCGAGCTATTCAGTTAAACGTTCTATTTGTATTCGGATACGATCCAACAGCGTTTACGGGGTTAGTCGGTGAAGTAGATTATAAGAAAAATGAAAATCCTTTTATGTACATTTCTAAGACTTTAGGCCTAAAAGAAACATTTTTAGGCCTAAAATATTGGAAAGCATTAGTTTTGCATTAAAATAAATTAATAAAATTGAAGAAAATCCAGACTTTATTTCAAATAATAAAAGATTTCCATATTACATTCTTGTTTTGTAAACAATAGGACCTTCGGTAACTTTCATTCGATAACTGTGCTCTGAATAATTTGTAGCCTTTGCCGGTCGAGAAGTTCGAGTAAACGTACGGGATTGACGTCATTTCGGTTCGGTTTCGAATACGACAGTTTGACGTTCGATTCGGGTGTTGCGAATAAGAATGAAAAGAAATCGTACGATATCAAATCCTCTTCGGTGCAATTGCTCTACTTTCCCGATATCGAATCGGTCGACAACCGTGTTATCGTAAGGTTCTTAATCGACCCCCTGTACCGCCCACAACTAGTCGCTGCCGCTGGACACTTTTCTCAAGTCATGCGTCTATCTTGCGGGTGTCCTACATTTGACTACGTTTGCCTTGACGTGGTCGCCACTTTAGAACACATCTGCTCCAACGCCCATCAGTCCTCCAGCAGACATGTCTGGCCCACTACCACTTAAGTTTATTGATTATGCGAGCTTTATAATAAACTCATTAGATAAAAATTATTTCATAAAACCTTTTCAAACAGTAATACTTGTCTATATTTGACAATAAAGATGTAAATCACTACATTTTACTTGACAGACTTCAACGGGACTGCCTGGCTCTGATAAATTTTGGCAAACACGTTATCTTTTATATGAATATATTTATATATTTGTAAATCTATTTTATATTACCATCTTATCTACAATAATGGTTACTTCAAGTACAAAAGCCGATAAAACCTATAGACCCAATCGGTCCCTGAAGAATAGTATTAAAGCAGATATAATCATACTGGGGTGTAGTCTTCCGGGTATCGTAACTGCACACAAGCTTAAGAAGAAGTTCGGCGACACTATGGATATCATGGTTCTTGATCTGTCCACGACCATAAGACAAATATCCAAGGGAAACGTAGCGTTCGACGCGGAACATGTAACGCCAGATCAGAACGACACCGAAGTCGGTAACACCGTTATCCAACAAAATACTCACCTCACCAATTTTTTTCTAACCAAATACGCACTGGACTTCAACATCCCTATACCCACAGCCTTACTCGGTCAGCGAATGGACGAACCCGACATAAAAATCTTCCAACATCTTAATGGACTTTGCGTTGATTTAAACTCCAGCTACCACGATTTTGAATACTTGAACTTCTTGGAAAGATTTGAGTTAAAACAATACCAACGCCTACTCGACGACTCGATGCATAGTTTGTTTAAAATTGACTCCACTCCAACCGCATCAGAACAAAAATTACTATTGTACTACGACCAGACGTCAATGGAGAAGCACCTCTCTGCTGAGCTATTATTCACTACGTCAAAAGAAATCATGCGAACTACCGTCAGACTGGTTTGTGGAGCGTCTCCCAAACACGTGTCGGTACTTTTCTTCCTTCATCAATGCTATAGAACGAGTAGTTGTACGAATCATTTAGACGGGGATAATGTGAGAATTCGCGAAAAGCTCCTAGGTTATTGTCGCAAGCGGTTGGCTATAAAACTACTACAGAGCACCGAGGACATAACATTAAAAGCAAAACCTATAACAGAAATCAGAACGTACTCTAACCAAGAAGTTATTTTAGAGACTATGCTGGGAGAAACCAATTACATCTGCAATTTACTAGCTATGGCGCTGAGTCCTGAACAACTGAACGAAATCACAGTCGAGACGAGGCTGATGTCGGAGAATGAAGTCACTATCACTGAGAGAATGATGAAAGGGCGGATCAAAAGTTTCCTAATACAGTATGAAACAAATATCTGGCGGAAGCATGGATATAGTGGGGACATTGTTAGTGTGCGTGGGCCTATAATATGGGCTACTGAGCGTCCAAGATTATCCGGGACAGGGGCAACAGAAAAATATGCTACTTTGATGGGATATTTGGATGTTAAAAACTTGGAAACAAATTATAAAGATGGAGTTGTGGAGCAGTTGGTTTTGTTATTCGGTGAAGAAGCCAGGAACCCTGTCTTATATTCTGAGAAAATAGTGAATGATATACTTGTGCCTAGGCTTGGTGATTATTTGAAATTATACCGTATGACGAGGCAACACAGTTCGAAGTATCTGGTGTGGGCTGCATTGGATATTTTTGCTGATGGTGATGTGGCTGGTGCCATTGAAGCTGGTCATCGGGCGTATTTGCATTTGATAAGTTTGTTGCGGCCGCAGTCGAAGAATTTTGAAGACGTGGTTTTGGGCCAGTGGCCATCTACTTTGCTAGAATGGCGTCTGATCCGAACTATAAGGACAACTAGTTTAATAGGTGCCGTTCAATACCTCATCTATGGCACAGCGGTCTTGTACGGTCTACATTTATTGCGTTCCTATTTCCGCAGATAAAAAAATCAAAACGTCGACGAGTTAAAGTGTCTAATATATATTATTGACGTTGGATTTTTACGTGTAACTTTAATTATAAATTATTTTAATATTGTCCTTCAGTATGATTTGTATTTATCCATTCATATCTGTATTTTCACATTTAGATAATATCTGTACAAAGCTTGGTTTCTCTGAAATAATAAAAGCATAATAAAAAATATTATTTCTATAAAATGTTCTAGTTATGTCTTCTCGTAGTATATAACCATCCCTGACATACCGAGGTCTATACATATTGCTCATTCATCTCACATTGTCCGTTGTTTCCGATAGCCCTATTTGACTTGGGTCATCATGACATGCATGGCAGAGCACGACCTTCATAGAGGTCAGAGTTAAGCATTTGTGTCAAGTGCACTACAATGAGTAGATAATTACATTCTTTATTAAATTATGTAAATCACTTACGTGAGACGTACAGTGAGAATTAAAATTGTCATTTTTAAATTGGCTACCTACAAACGTTACCTAGGTGTTTAACGATTGAAAATATCTTTTTTTTATAATACTAAGTGACGGGACTAACAAGTCGTACGCCTGGTGGTAAGCGACAAGCCTATCCGTAACAGTTGCAGTGCCATTCAGAGCTTTAAAGAGCAGAGATGTTATGGGCACTGCCACTGCGCCCGTCACCCTGAGACATAAGTTGAAAAGTCTCATATGCCTGCAATTTCACCGGCACCCGTACCCTCCTAAACATCATTAAGTGTCTCCAATTGCAAGATAAGAAAAGGACCTCTTCTCCAATGACTATGTACAGCAGTGTACTACACAAGACTGATAAAGACGAAAAGACTGATATACTCAAATCCTAGAAATTTAAGAACGCCTTCCTATTTAACAAGAGCAATAATACTCGGATTATTATTACGCCAATGGATTTCAAACAGGCGCTTCCTATAATATTTGAAAACTAAATCAAAACTAAAACTACATTTTCTTTTTCTATATAAAGTTAGTTAAGATGTCTGAGATGTCAGAAGTTATCCTAATCGTACATAGCTAAATTATTATTAATCAATTTCAATATTAAAACTGGGTTATAGTCTTTTATGATATCTCAAAAAATGATTTTGTCATACAAAAATAATTCGTTTGGTTTAGTCACATAGCCGCGTTTTTGTTAGCTGACAGCATTAAGGATGCTTGTATGCAATCATCTCGTCTCTAAAATATACACGCAGTCGTTTTTAGTGAATGATTAAGAATACGATTTTAATATAATAATAATAATAAGAAACCATTTATTTCGACCAACATAGATCATAACAAACACAAACTCAAAATTTAATCTTAGATTTATTATAAAATTAAAGTGAAAATTTAAAAATTAAAATATATAATAATATAAATAAAACAAAATGAAATTACTATTAGAATACTAATTTAGCTTTAGTCAATAAATGTTACAATGGTACATGTATTGACAGTCAAAGCGCTCAGCAAATGTCTTTAGGATTCTGTTGTGGCTGACCCGCAGCCTACGCACTGATGTGCACCGCTTGCGCATGATTGTGCGGAAGCAATCTACGCGCGCTTCAGCAAACATCCCCGATGCGTTGCAGAAGCGAGGCAGCCCCAACAGCGCCCTAAATGCCTAATTGTACTGGACACGTAGCGCGTTGTATTGTTTTAACTTATATTTCACCAACAGACTACTAGTATAGAAGGACGTACAAAATGCCCTGAATAGGATGACCTTGACGTCTCTCGAACATTGAGCAAATCTGGAAATATTAGCTCTAGCAGACAACGCCCTACGCTTCCTCTCCATGTCAGCATCGTCCTCCAGGCCCGAGGTTACAAAATGTCCAACATACTTAAACTTGTCCGCTCTATTAAGAGTACACCCGTAAAGTTTAACGGGTGGTGTTTTATCCGTATGAAACCGTGACTATTAGCATATTTTTCACAGATGCGAAGCAACTTCGACAAGCCGCAGACAGAAGCACTCAGCAGCACCATATCGTCCACTTAGCTAATATTATTAAGACAGACTCCACTAATGTGGCAGCCGATATGCGTGCTGCTAAACTCCTCTATCAGTGGCATTCACGTAGAGATTGAAGAGCTTGGGTGAAGTTAACCCCCAAGCCGCGCTCCGCACTTCAACCCGTACGGAACCGAATAGTCCCCCGACCATCTAACAACGTTGACCTGGTTCTGATACGAATGTATATATGTATCTCTATCGTACAATACAAGTTACAAATTTTTAACAAACAAATAGAACGTTATTGTACAAAGGCGAGCTTATCCCATAAAAGGATTTCTTCCAGCTAACCTTTGAATAATTGAAAGGAAAGTTGGCACCTGTTAATGCTACCTACTCAATAATTAAAGAATAAATTTATTAAATAAATGATGATGCACTAACACACATAAAATATATAATAAAATAAATGTATAAAATAAGACCATAACTAAATATGTGAGATGTAAATAAATATTTTGTAAGCTCTAACATGACGAGACTGAACAATCCCAAGATTTCGAAAGGGCACCTCTGAGAGCCCGAACCGAAGGTGATTGTCTGACCTGGACTGGGAGAAGGTTCCACATACGAGCAGAGTTCACTGTGAACGATTCCGAATACTTTTGTGAATTGTATTGTGGAATGACGAGGGACAAATTAGTACCGGGATGCAGGCGGTCACCCATAGCCTGGGGGTATTGGAAACGCTCACGAAGATAACTAGGAGAAGAGTGATGGAAAAGGATTTCATATAGGAAACATAAAACGTGGGCATTTCTACGGAGACGGACTTGTTAAGAAGGTACTCAGAAAGATCAAGGTAGGCGACGTCCCCACAATCCAAAAGAGGTAGAAGAAGAGAGCGTATGAGCATAAATTTGGTAGAGAGAGAAAGAAAGTACTGCAGCCGTTTGAGGGAATGAAGTGATGCAAAGATTTTACGACTGACATCGGCGACTTGCTCCGACGAAGAAAGTGTCTGATCCGTTATGAGGAAAAAGAAATAATGGAATCATTCAGAACCAAATTGGGCACCACCATAGATTCCAACCTGGAGATGGAGTGGCGACTGCCAATAATTATAATAATTACCAATATTTAAAAATACGTATAACTTCCTTTGGAACTGCCATCTCCTGCAGTTTTTTCCCATGTCGTAACAGACCAGATCAAACAGGCAAAAACGGGTGTCAGTGTCAGTATAATACTTGACATTTTGCCTTAAATACAACACGGCTGTTTCTGTGTTTCTGTGTCGTCTGGGTTTTTGTAGTTACAGTTGAATTAAATAACATTTTTAGTTTAAGTTTTAATACGTTTTGTGTTTCATAATTATTTGTTCTGTTTAAACTAATGGCTCTATAGACAATGCTCACTAAGTAATTAATAATAATAATAATAAATTATCTTCGGACAAAAAAGTGTCGATGTTAAAAGGTCGACATATTTCTAATAAGTATAGCCTGACGCAGTAATAACGCACCTCTTAACAATTATTGTCATTCATTACACTAGTATAGTGTCCAAATAGGAAATAATAATGAGAGTCGACCCGACTTATACAATTGGTTTAGGAACAAAGTATCCGTAAAGCATCCGTATAGAAAAAGTGTATAAAAACAAAACAAATAAGTCAATTACAATAAATTGTTACGGAACGGGAAGTAGCGGTTCACTTAGTCTGAGGAGAGATTTCCTACTCTGTTCTTCTACGAATTGAACACAGATGCGTTTCGTGGTTTCGGCGAAACTACGTAATTGTTTAGTAACTTATTAGAAATTCCTACAGGGCCGCATTGAGAGATATTTTATTAGGGGGCGATCATTTAATTTGTTTCAAATCGATGCATGGTATAAATCAGATCTTTTATATACGCGATCGAACAGATAATTATTATTGAAATACTTAATAGATGTTGTAAATGGGTGAGTAATGGAAGATATAACAACAAATAATCTATTTTCACTTGATATAATTTCTAAGGATATAATCACTCACTGTATATAATTAACAAAAGGCATAATTTCAATGTGTGTAATGAACCTTCAGTATAACAAACATTACATATAATGATTAAGTGACATAATGAACAAATACTATAAGTACTACCAGTATAATGTATTAAATAATATAACACAATATTACGTTTTACGAATAGTTGACGCGCCCTACAATATGTTGATAAGATTTTTTTTCCATTAAATGTACAATCGCAAAATATAATTGTTTTTGTATAGCTTTAAGTGCTTTTTGTGTCATAAAATATATTTATTAAAACTTTAAGTAGAATATTTCATTGCATATACTAACCTAACCTAAACACACAGCAGGAGGTCGAACCAACCAGCAAATGCAAACAAATTCGGTTCTGACAGCTTTGTCATATACTAACCTAACCTAAGCCCACGGGAGGAGGTCGAACTAAGTGGCAAATGCGAACAAAGTCGGTTCTGGCAGCTTTGTCATATACTAACCTAACCTAAACCCACAGGAGGAGGTCGAAACAACTAGGAAATGCAAACAAATCGGTTCATTCACCGTTGCACCTAAACACCACTGGAATCATATTTATAATACATTATATTCAGTGAATGTTAGATCTAAAGTGTTTATATAAAATGAACATTATGCCATCAGTATATTAGGTTGAAAGTTGTTATATCAATCGTCTATTATACTCAGTGACCTTTATATCATTCAAGAATATGTCAAATGTCTGTATACCATAAATTAATTATATCTATTGAGCGTTATATCGACTAAAAATATGTCATTTGTTGTAATATATTTCGAATCGCACCCGTTGTAAATTAGTCAGGTAGATAATCCATTATAATTGTGACCTACGTGCATTAGGTCAATGCCTACGTGTGAAAAACATATATTATTAAAAGGTATGGAACATTTCAAAATATCGTAAAATTTATATTTCAACCTTTCGTCATTACAAATTAAAATTAAACCGTATTTATGGGTCACTATCAAATAGAACGTACACCCGTATGAGAAAAGCATAATAATTAGTTATTGACGCATAATATAAAAGGCTTGTATTGCACAATTTACTTTCGAATGCACGTGATCTATTATGTAATTCTAATTATAATA